CTTGGTGTTGTTCAGTTTTTCTGGCGGGAAAGTAGGGCAAAAGGGTATAAAGGTTTTTAAGAGTATAAAAGGTAGAAAATTTAAACACAATAATAATTCTAAGCCAAGTTTGGGAAAAAACAGATGTTAAAAAAGATTGTACATTCTGAAATTATGAAGATGATGTATTCACCTCCTAAATTACCTTGGCATTTCAAATGTTAATGCTTACAAGTAGTGTGATTGTTTTCTAACATTTTCTCTAAACAAGGCTGCATGGCAATGACTATCCAAATTAATTGAGGTAATGTGCAAGAGAGAAACTGACACCTCAAATCTCTTTATTTGCAGGAGGTCTTGGATGACGTTAAGCTTTCTGTCAACGACTTCATAATTAAAGCTTCTGCTTTGGCATGCTTGAAGGTGCCTGAGGCAAATTCTTCATGGATGGACACAGTTATTAGGCAGTAAGTTTATGGTACGGTCGAAGCCAGAAACTTTCTTTGTTCAGTAGAGAGTTCATGGCAAAATAGCAGACCTTCTGCTGGGATTTTGAGGAGGGAGGGGAACAGGTATAATGCAAAGGTTGATGGGTTTTCATTAAAGTGTTAAGAACCTTGCTTCTATGGATAGTGTGCAAGGTGAAATAATTGTTGCAAAATTAATATTTGGAGTTATCTGTTAACTTGCTAGAGTAACTGGCATCTCCTTTGTGTCTTGCAGAAATCACGTAGTGGATGTTAGCGTTGCAGTTAGTACTCCTGCAGGGCTTATAACCCCTATTGTGTTTAATGCGCATATAAAGGGCCTGGCTTCCATTAGTAAAGATGTGGTTTCTTTGGCAGCTAGAGCCCGAGAAGGCAAACTTCAGCCTCACGAATTTCAGGTGAGAAACTCAGATTGCTGTTAAACATCGCTGCCCGTGACTTCCGTTCAGAATGAGCAGAGCCTATTTTGTGATGTTTCAGCCATGTTCATTAATACTCCACGAGATTGCTTTTGTGAATTTGACTATGAATGTGTTTTTCTTGTAGGGTGGTACTTTCACAATTTCCAATTTAGGAATGTATGGGATTAAGAATTTCGCTGCCATAATCAATCCACCTCAAGCCTGCATCCTTGCAGTTGGTTCCTCGGAGAAAAGGCTGGTGCCAGCTGATAATGAGAAAGGGTAAGTATTCATGTGATCCTGCATATACTGAGCTTCTGAATTTAAACTTTGAAATAATGGCTAGTTTTCTAACACTTCCATTAGATTGTCATTTAAAAAAAAAATTAATTGTTGACATACTGCTTTCAGTACCTTCTGAGTAAGTACAGTGAAATCTTGTATAAAAGGGTCATGCAGGCATTAAGGAGAAATGTAGTGACTAATGAATGATCTGCCATACATTTATTCTTGCAACTTCTTTGCAAGTTCAAGAAAGGCTGTTGCTTTCTTTGAGGGGTAAGGTTAAGCTGTAGAAAGGAGTCTGGGGTCCGCAATAGTTAGGCATCTGTTCCTCTTAAATAACTTACTTAAATTTGCATTTAAGGAAAACCTGAGGGATGGATGATGATTCAAGCTTCCTGTATATAATATCGCCTTGCTTGGAGCTTGAACTAGCATAGACCCAGGAGAATGTTTAAGATTATTTAAAGTTCTTAAGAGTCCTAGGTATCTGTTGCTGACACATGGAGAAACTGGAGGTTACTGGGTAAAATGGCTCTTATACTTTGGTTGTGTGGGGCCGTTCTTGTGATACAAAGATGGGCTTCCTGTCCTAAAGGGAACATACAAATGTGTTTATTAATTGTAGAAAAGGAATGAATATGATCTGGTCTCCAATGTGATCTTTTTTAGAAGTCCTCAGGGAGAAACATCTGTTACCAAGCACCAAATGCTATTAACCTTTTTCTTTCAGATTTGATGTGGCCAGTGTGATGTCTGTTACACTTAGCTGTGACCATCGTGTTGTAGACGGAGCAGTTGGAGCACAGTGGCTTGCTGAATTCAAGAATTTCCTTGAAAAGCCAGTAACCATGCTGCTATAACTTAACCATGGAAGCAAAATTTTCCTGGGTCACACTGTTTTGTTTTAAACAAGCTGTTTAGACTTTAGTGTTCCGACTTATTAAAAAAGTTCCTTTTTTATTTTAATTATGTATTATATTACCTGGTAATGTTATTACCAGTCTGTACAGAAAAAGTTTGCAAAAGTGCTTTTCAGAGCAATATTACAGCTATACTGTATTTTTATACAGTTAGTTAACTTGCAAACTCTTCCAAAACAGAGTTAAGCATCCCAGATCTAAAAATGATCCAGGCAGTATGCATACTGCCATCTGCTACTAAACTAGGGTGAACAGGAGGGTGCATACCAAGCAATTTCAGGACCTCAGTGTTCTCAGAAATTTGAATTACAAACATCTCTTGACAGGAGTTCAGATGAGATGGCAACTGAGATGTACACGTTAGTAGAAGGTGAATTCCCTTACTAACCTGTTCTCCTGCTGGGGTGGTTGAGCGTGACAGATGCACGAAGGGACTGAAGCGCCTGGGAATAGTTTCTCAAAGGCCAAGTGCTAGCATTCCAAATCTCTCTTGGAATTTGGCACTGGTCTGGACCTTCTCAGCTATGTGATCCCTTTTGAGCACTTTAAAGTAAGATGAAAGAGCACTGATATCTGTGGGGTCACAGCTCTTGGATACCACTGGGAACGTGCTGTCTTCTCATGGACTTTCATTTACAAGTGCTTTTTGTATGAAAACACTTTAATTGCTATTACTCTTGCTAAGTTAGTATCAGACTGTGATGCCATGGAAGTAATTGTTTTGCAGAATGTTCAAGAGAATCTGTGTGTTGGAACCCAATATAGGCAAATCACACATGCTAATAATCCCATCAGTGGATATTAATCATGTGATGACTCGAATGTTTGGAATTTTTTTTTCAGACATTCTAACATAGGAAGCTCTGAGTTAGTCACTGGTACTGCAGTTCTTCCTCATTGTCTATGTTGTCCCAGCCTCAGTAAGCTGCGGAATATGCTATCCATGTATATATTGTATGTAAAATGCTTCAATAGTTTGTTGGATTTGTGTCCAGTTACCCCAGTCATTGCATCCTGAAAGGGGTGCAGTGCTGAACATACTTAAATTCCACTTTCCACATGGAAATATTAATGTAAAAAGGATGACTGTGCAGTAATGACAAAGTGACCACGAGAACTAAATGGTGGGGGCAAAATTTAAAAAAAAAAGAAAAAGTTAAAGCTGATCCGTTATTCTGTATATTGCATTATGTACTGTCTCCTGTAAAGTTCTACAAAATTCACTGAAGATAGTGAAAGAAAATACTGTGGAAATTAAATATTTTTGTGAGAACTATTTAGTGTGTGGTTGCTGTGGTACCTGGTTTTCATGCCTGGCTTAGGCAAAAGACTGCATTAAGGTTTTGGGGGCTCTTTAATGATCTAAAATATCTTGGTTCCAGACTTGCTCTAGTGAACCTACATTCTATTAAATGTTTGAAATTGACAGCTACTAAAACATGTTCCAGTGCTTCTCTCTTCAGTCGTATGTGGCTTACTGTACTGCTATAGCACAATCAGAGCTGGTTAGCCTTTCAGTCTGATAGTGAAACTCATGCTATTAACCTTAAATTGTAATCACAAATTATTCAGAATAATACGTGCTTTATTACCATCATGCAGCAGTGAACTTTAATCTTCTTGGCTCCCTTGCTGCAATGTTCACCAGAACTTCAAATTCCTGCTACAGAGATCTTTCACTTTCCTCCTGCACTTGGAACACTAAATAGTTTATCCTATGGAAACGCTTTCTGAATGACTGTCAGACTCTGGAACACTTGCAGCTCAAAAAGTCCTATGCAGTCCGTGTGCTTGGCATGCTGATAGTGACTTCTGGCACTGCTTACATCCTGCAACAGGTCAGCTCAGCTCATGCAGTGATAGAATTTCAACTTGAAATTGCAACTATAACCACTGAACAGTATTTCAATGCAGCCTTCTAAGTTGCTTTGAAACAAAGAATGGGAAAAGCTAGGAGTTACTGCTCTTTTGTAAGCCTGTACTGTACAGTTGCAGCTCAAAACCAATTTGTCTGTTTCCATTTCTGATCTGATGAATATCAGTACAGAAACATGGCTGCAGTGCAAATGTGTCATAGAAGCTGTACGAATGACATATTATCAAATCAGTCTTGAAACTAACATCACTTAAACTTTTCTTTGTCCCTTTCGCAAGTAATTCTAATAATGCTTAGTAATCCTTGAAGTTGTTTTCTGTTGCTTTGTATTACTTGGTAGTTTGTGTATTAGTGTAAACTAATGCAGATAGTTTTCCTAGTTGAAGTGATCCAAGATTGGTTTTGGTTGCTAGCTTCGCACTATGCGTCCCTGAGCTTTGAATCTCTGTATGCTGTTTTGAACAGTACAGGATAGGTCTATTGGCTTATGGTCTCATTCAGAGATTACCAAACTGGTGAGAAGTGAGGTCAAGCATATGCAGTGACTAAAAAGACTATAAAGTCTATTGCAGTTAACATCAGCAAGGATTGTCTAAAGAGAACAGCAGCAGCATGCAGGGCAACTTGTAGAACTGTATATGACACATTTCTGCTGGTTGTTCCAGAATTAAATACACAAGAGCTGCTCTAGGCATGTGAATCCAGTAATCAATTTATTTAGCACAAAGGCTTCACAATTGTTATTGCTGTACTTTAAGGCAAAATGAAAGCATGTATGCATTTATGGTTCTTTGCTACAGGTGTTAACATATTCAAGGAGTACTTCAATATTTACAATCTTTACTTATTTTTTTCCTAAGTTTGGTGGTAGTAGTATTCCTCCAGACTTCCTTTTCTACATGTATCTTCTAAAGGCATTTGAGGTATTCACCCCTGAACATTAGGAGGTCAATAAAAAAACCCCTCATCACGATTTAAAAGTTAGGATACTCATTCTGGGCTTTTGTTTTGTTCTGTCATCTGTGACCATGAACTGGACAGAATGCAGTCTTCACGGATCTGTCTTGGCAACTGGCACTGTGATAAACAATACCCGTTTTCCTTTGTTAAATACTGCTGTAGTTGTTTCTTCATCTACCAATTCTGGCAGATCTAGTTGCAATTTGTATTTTTCAGGGACTTCAATGATTATGTCATCCTAAACCAAGAAATTTAAAATACTTGATTAACTATTTGATAATGAATTAGCAGTGATCATTTCTAGGAATTGGACACAAGACAGAAAACAAAGTTATTCTTTCTGCTATCTTACCTTTGAAATTTGCAGATCACACTCAGAAACAGAGCTAACCTTAGGCAATTCAATTTTTAGTTCAATTTTGATTGGTTTCTTGTTTGCATCCTTCACGGTGATCATTTCATAGCCAGGGGTACTCAGCTTCTCTGACATTTCGGTACTGTTAATTTCCTCTATCAGATGCATTGTAGACTGTGTCACACTTTCTTCCTTCAGCAGCACAGGAGCGTTGCTGTAATTCTCAGCTTCCATAGTGTGTAGCAGCTGAGCAAGTGTCAGTTCTTTCAAGAAAAATAATTTTTTTCACACGTACCACTCAGCTAAAGAACTGTAATGTTATGCCACTTGAAAAATATATCACGAAAGTTTTAACTGTAATTAATTGTAATTTGCAATTTTGTCAGCTAAAGACTGTTACTTGCAGTTTCTCCTTCGACCATGATTTGGTTTTATTGCCAATGGGTTAAAAGTTGTTTTCGGACTAATAGTTAACTACTATTCAGGTTAGAGCAAAAGAAACTTGGCACCTCAAGGGATCAAACCCTAGCAGAGTTCCCATGTCTACTGGATATAGGAAAAAGGGAATCTGCTGTTCCAGTGTCATGGAAACTATCATGTTTCTCAGTTGTAAAACACCAGAGATGAATGCAGATAGGCCAGCAGGGTTAAACTAATGTCTGGTATGAATACCGCTGCCTTATTCTGAATTCTTAGAAGTGTTTGGTTTATGCTTACGGCAAGAATTGGGGTTAGAGAGATGAGGCTTAAGTAAACTTGTTGGAGAATCTGACAGGCCCTCAAAGAAAAGTGACAGCAGATCTCTACGTACCCTTCTTTCTGTTCAGACTGAGATGTGGAGTTGGCATCTGCCTGCCGTTCAGACGTTGCTGCATCATTTCCAGGCTTCCTTTCAATTTGAATGATTCAATGGTGTACAAATAAGAAAGAATAAGGTTGTATCGTTCCTCAACGAATTTAAGTGTCAAATGGATCAAATGCTCCATTTTTTCTGGGTTTTCTTCTCCCCTCTGAAGAACATCTGGGTTATATGCAATATCTATAATGCTGTAAACGTCTATAAAAAATAAGTTACGTGTCAGAATTATTGCAGTGATACCATCTGCTCATATTGCTTATAATCACTTGACTTAAAGGCAAAGGAAATAGATTTGTGGCTTCTGGGCAGAAAGCTAATTGTGTCAAGCTCATCTCGAGGTGACAGCTCTCCCTGTGCTGATCCGGCAGTCTGCATGTTCAGGGAGAAGCATGGGACCGCGATTCAAGTCAACATATGTGGTCAAAGAGATTCCTAGTGCACAAGGACTTTTCAGGATTTAGATGTGTACAATTTTTGTGTTTCTCCAGTTCTTTTCAAAAAGGAAGGACGCATTTGGAGTCCCTGATGAGATAAGGCCTGTCTCGTCCTCGCCTTGCCGCCCCCACCCCGAGCCAAGAGTTGGCCGCGGCACCACCCTGTCACAGCGAGAGTCTGCGTGCCTTTGCCACGCAGCGCACGCCTGCAGAAAGAAATGCATCCGGGGCGAGGCGCGACTCCCTCGGGACGTACCTCCCTCGCCAGAGACCTCTTCTAGCGGCCCCGCGCTGACAGGCGTGGGGTCCGTGGGAGCCTTGGGCGCCGGGACCCTTTTCCAGCTGCAGACGTTGATG